TACACACAAGAAACATATTTACTAATATCAAAGAAATAGTTAACTGTTTCCAAGATGAAGTTGTTGAAAAAAAGTTTATATGGACGATGTACATGTATGTGTCCCTGTAATAAGAGCAACTTATGGGAAACATCACGTCAGATTACCAGCTGATGCATGAACAGTGAATAACATTTATCATTATACATCTGTCTTCGTAACGCTATAAGTTGCAGCGTGCTGTAATTTTGCGGTATTGCACTGGGTATTTTCATCCTACTATATTAGGAAATGCGAATTTCAAATAGGAAGCGATTGTGTGCGTGAGCGTCCTCTAATAATAAAAATAAACATGGCAGCCCCCAAGTTTGACTGGACCCCACACAAAGAAGCTTGCTAAATCTGTGCTAAACTTGTTGGATTTCAGCATTCCCATAATGTATCCTTGGGAGGAAAAGATGTACAATGTATACCGTGATAATAAGGTTATTACGAGTGTCACACGCAACGTAATATTACCGTAATTGGTATAGTACAGGTGTGATGGTTCAAATACCAAAATGGCAACAGTAACATAAAGACTTCCCTGGCAGTGATGATAAAATACGAACACGGAGTCAACAGATGAGGTTTCAACTGGTACTGATATAATTATACTCTGCAGACATCAAGTACAATAACGCGGTAAAACTCCACTACTCCAATAACTAGATACTTAAACTCCAATACAATTCAACGAGATCTCTGATCTGATCTCAGTGCTGAACAACTCCCCTATATATACCCACACTGTCTATAAATAGACCATTACATCAGCATACATAATGAGTCTGGAACTTACTACAAATTTCTAGAATGTACCATTACCTTCTACAGTGTCCTATTACCTATTCAAACAGCTTCTAAAAATTCCACCCAGACACAGTACGGTTCTAGAACATTCTCAGTCACACGGAAGTGGTAAACAAGTCGTATGCGACAACGAGGATACCACAAAGTATGCACTCAGACAGTACACCGCTGTATCGGCTGCGTGTTGGTTGATTCTCCAGCTGTACTGTCTTCGTGCATACTTTTCAGTATCCTCGTAATAACCTCATATTATTGAACATTTGTATGCTAGCTGGCAACAATGTAATAAATGCTATTTGTTGATACACTACAATTATATACTGTAGAATAATTTATTTTTGCTTGGAATTGATTTTCACTGAAGGAATGATTCAGTGAAAATATAATCCAGCGAATATACCTTTTTTCCTTATGTTTCAGTTTCAACTCGTCAAAAATCCATGAAAATAAAATCCATACAAAACACCCAAAAAGTCTATTCATCAAAAATTTACTAAAATAAAGTATTTTACAGTAATTACTATACATGTACCTGTAACAGGGACACCAATAGAGACAAGAATATAGTATATTTTCTTTATTGAGCAGCATATGTGCTTACATAAACAGCAATAAGTCAAATTTTATTGATCCTGCATACATGTAATTTTTATTTAAGTATGTTTTTATTATTAAAGATGCATATAATTTTTTATTCTTTCATTTTTTTCAAGTTTTTTCACTTCTTTAATACAAAAAAAAAGCTGTACATTTTTAGCTGACATGGCCACATTGGCAAATAAACATGGACAATATTTTCTGGATTTAAGTATCCCTCTTAAAATAAATTGGTCCATCCCTACTAATCCATATATGGTTAACTCAACACTTGCCATTGAACACATACCACCATTTACAGCCACTAGCTTGGCAAGGTCTTACTGCCTGGGATTTACAAAGTGATGATACAACACAGTATATAGTAACTGTATGGTTAATAAGGTTTATAACTATTTAGTTATAAAACAAACATTCATACTTTCCCAATATGTTCCCTATAGGTTTATTCTATGTGATTGATTGTTTTGAAAACAACTTGGGATATCCAAACTGATTTTTGAATAATGATATTAACCTTAATTGCATTTATATTAACCAAAATGTTTATCAGAATAACACTATTATTGGGAATTATAGACCCTATGATTTTATTTTAGGGTCTATGGAAGAACTCACAATGTTATTGCTAATGGCATCAAAGCTCAGTTTACATTCAGTGATTTTTCATTCAACAAAATATCAAGACCTTACTTTATTAGTAGTGCATGTACTCACATGAATGACAGAAGTTTCTATGGTCAAAATAATTTAGCTGTATAATGATGATCCAGCGTAAAATAAATGCATTTTTTAGTTTGTATGCTTCTATTGGAAAGAAGAACGCAACGATTTTAAAAGTGATTTTTTGAAATAAAGTTTTTGTGATGATAACTCGGAATGAAACTGAAATATTTTAAGATAATAATGCATGGCTGAGATCCAAGGCCAAGACTAAATTTTAGAAGTTCACTTTTGGAATTTGAGGAATCAAGGTTATTTAGTGTTGACATTCCAACTGTTATGGTAATGTACGACCTTGATTCAGAAATAACTCCAGCTTTTTAGCATCTGAGGAAATAATGTGCACATAAGCCTAATTGCTGGGAAATATAGGATTACAATGAAAATACTGTAAAAGGGTTAATTATTCACTGGGTTTTAATTTTGCTTATTTTGCTGACTGAAAAATATGTGAAATTT